AGTTCAGCAGTTTTGAATTTCATGCGGATGCGGACAAATTTGCTCTAGAAGCTGGTCGGAAAACAGTCTCAATGAAACAGGTATCCCTTTTTGAATGTTTTTCAGCTCTAGCTGAGTTTCTTGCTCATTCACTCTTTATTCTTGTCGAAACTATCCTATTAAGGAGATTGTGATGAGGTTAAAAGGAGAGCTTGAAAATTGCAAAAATACAGAAGGCGAGCGCAAGCAAAAACGTGAAGATACCGAAAAGAAACGAGTGGAGTTAAAAAAGAGAATCTTTGCAAATTTAGCTCAGTATGTTATTCTACTTTATTATCATACACTTAAAATTTCTCCAGTCTAACTTCACATTTCTTTGCTTAATCTTCGATAACAGAACAAGGACGTTGTCCGCAGAAATGGACAACTTTGGTGTTGAACGTGTCGCACTTGTAAAAAATGACCACGAAGGTACATTACATACCCACGAATTTCTTTTAGTAGAAAAACGCGGGAAGTGATAGTCATACGGTACAATGCTTTCAATTTAAGTGCGTGCCAAACTTGCTGATTTCCGAGCAAGAATTTCTGGAATGGCAGAAAATCGTGAGAGACTGGAGTCGAGCATAGTAGATCTGAGACACTCCGTGATTGTAGATCCGACACTTATCTCAGGTGTGTATGTTGATAATTTTATGCTTGAAGGTAAACATTTCCCGATTTGATTTCTCTTGCTTTGCTCATTATTAAAAGATTTTCTACAAAAGACAATTTCTACTTGAAATCTTATTTCTGCATGCTTTCAGAAGTTCAAAACATGGCGCAAAGCATCGCAAATGAAGTTTGTGCGAAAAAAGACTGCTTCGATATGACGGTTAGTTTACTGTGTTTGATGCTTCACGTTGTTTTGAAAATAGTGTTTATAATCAATACAGGCGGTTATTGCCGAAGTTCAAGCGATAGAGAATCTAAGAACGCAACGGCTTGAATTGACGGAGAAATTGGCCGCGAAGACAGAGATGTTATCAGCACTCGAGGGTGACAACGGTAAAGAGGATTATAGGGCTTTCTTTAAAAAATTCCTGTAAGCATTAAAAGCATGTTTATAAAATTTTTCTTCTTTGTTCAGATCCCATGTTCGATTATCTCTAAATCTAAGCATTGCTTTGTTGATCTTTTCTCAGGTGATAATTGAACAGTTGACCAAAATTGTTATTCAACTTGCATTCCAGCTGACGTTTCGGTATCTCCGTCCTCTACAGAGAA